GATTTTGAACTAATTACGTTATTGTTTTGACCTTGATCAATTAACAATAACGTAATTAGTTCTAAATCTGAACTTCTTAAAAATGTCAAATGAAATATTTAAATAGGTTTCCCACACTAATCCCAATTTAAATTTTAATTTAACGTCAGAATATTACATGGATAATTTTTTGTACTATAAACTATTTTATAAGCATTAACTGCCTACTAATTTGGACTACAAGAGGTTTTAATTCGATTTGTTAATGTGCCTCGTAATTATACTCTGCACTTACCTATGCTAATATTTATTCATAAAAAACGTTTAATGGTAATGTCATTGTTTAAATAAATAATCTTCCAGAATGAAATAGTATTACGCTAATCTCTTTTAATGGGATTAATGTTGTCAGATAAACGTAAGACAAAGATTTTTAATGTTCTTGCGTAATTACGTTTATAAAAAAAATGTCTTCAGTTCGAACAAGTTAAATGCTGTAACTTTCGGATCATTAATATTGGAAAATGAATTAATCAAAGATAAGAAATTATATAATTCATTATTATGCGTGTACATATCAACTGATATCAACACCTTCAATTATGAATTATTAATTTTGAGTCATGACAAGAAAATAATAATTTATGGAATAGTTAGATTTTGCGGTCAACTTAATTTATTTCACTTAATTTGCATATCCTCTTGTAGGTATGTGTATGTAATTGTAAGATGTAATGTAATTCTATTTTTAACACAATGTTGCTAACGCAATTGAACCGATCTGGAACAAATAGAATGAATTAAATGATTTATATACTTACACTAATATTCTGGGCAACTTTTTTGGTTAATTTATGTAGCAGGTGATTAAAGACAGAATTAAGTATTATAATATGTGCAAGTATGCATTAGTGTAATATTAAAGATCAAGGCTGTTTAAAGTTTTAAATTTTAATTTTACAAGGAAAGCTGTAATATCTTTTTAAAGTAGGTTTTACCATACTTAACAGAATGGTAATATTAATTATAAATAGTTGTTATTGTAGTCAGTTTAGCGATTTATTAATTAAAAAAATGACAAATAGAGATGGAAATCTATCTCGTTTGACGCCAAATGCCCATTATAAATATTTCTGAAAGGAATCGTCCTATAAAATTCATGGAAACACATATCTCTGCAAAGATATTCCCGAGATAAAAATGTTCAGTCTCTCAGAGTCTCTGAATGCGAGACTCGAGTCTCCGTCTCTCATCGAGTATCTCTGGTTTCCGGAGAGAGAGACTGTCGAGAGACTGTCAAAAAGACTGTTTAGCATCTCTGAACGAGAGACTCGAGTCGCTCATAGAGAGATCCTCATTTCGTATCCAGTCTCTGAACGAGAGACTCGAATCTCTCAATAAGTGGTGTCTCGATAGACATGATTTTTTAAATTTTCTAAGTTCAACATATTTCAGAGATGCCAGTCTTTCTACGAGAGACTCGAGTCTCTCAATTTTTCAGTTTTATTCATTCAGTCTCTCTGTGAGAGACTCGAATCCCTGAATTAACAATTTTATCGTTCGAGCCTCTCATACAGAGACTGTGACAGATCCATAAAAACACCTAGACAATAACTGAGATACCGTGAAAGACTGTAAGAGACGCTCTCAGAGACGCTGAAAGACTACGAAAGACTCTGAGAGACTGGAGAGAGACTAAAATTTTTGTCTATTGTTGACTGGTAACTTTACGTAATCCTTTTGGAGATATTTTAGTATGGTTTTGAAGTAATTTAGGTTTTGTGTTTTATCAGAAATCCGCCATCTATATTAGTACAAAGAAAAAATATTAATAGTCAATATTTTAAATGCAGCTAAAGGGAGCGCTACCTTTTAGTCTTGCAAACTTTACGTGTGCACTCTGTTGACCCTCCAAATTCAAAAATACGGCTAAACATATGTGTGTGTGTGTGGGGGGGGGGGGTGTTTGAGGTTCTATTCTGAACCAATACTCTGTCCTTTTTTCTGTTTATTTCTCATTAATTAATGATTTAGGCTATTTATGTTGTTGTCTCTTTTTTAATTTAAATAATTAATATTTATATACAACGCAACGTTAAATGTGTATTAAAGAATTGTACGGAATATTCCTTAATCAATAATACTTAACAAAACTAGCTTTCATTTTTGATTGCAATGCTGAATATACTTTCCGTAGGTTACTAATTCCATTTTGAATGCCATGGCCAAAAGAAGGTAATAACAAAAACAAAACAACCAATTCTATTACATTCAAACTGCATAAATTATACTGATTGATTGCTTTTCGTATAAGAAGGTTGTTTTTTTATTTGTTCTGCTGATGATTTGATGATCTGCAGCAGTTATTGTCGATTACAGAGAAAAAATTAAAGTAATCGGTATTTTTTATAAATGAAGGAAGTTTACGATTCTTGATTTCAATTACTTTATTTACCATGTAGATACTCCAACTTCGAGCATAAAGTGACGTCCTTGCATAAACACACCTTAAACCAATAATTTTTTACCAATTTTCTTTTTATAAATAAAGATGTCAGTTACACAAAAGTGTCTCATTCGATGTAAACAAATGAGTACACCTCAAAATAACATTTATGGATAATGGTAATTCACAGTATATTTCAAAATTTAGTTGATTATCCATAATGGTTAGGAAAATCTTCCGACAAATATCTCCACAACGTAAAAAAAATATATTAAAAGCGTATGCTTAGAGCACGACTATGTATGGTTGTGAAATGATAGAAAAGGTTAAAAATGAGATCGTATTAGAAACAGAAGCAAAAACGGGAGTCAGAGACAGACCTAGATTATACTACTGCTAGCAAATAGTTAGAGGTTACTATAGTTTTCGAAAAATGCGAAGATTGACTCAAAGTAGGAACATATGTACAGGTGGGAGTCTAATTAGTCTTCGTGTTGAAAACATTGCGACCATGATGATGATGGTAGAGCAGAAGAACTCTGAGATTTTTTAGCTAAAGGTGTGCCATGCATCAGAAGCCAAAAGGAAGAGAGGTAGCTGAATTTTTAAAAATTGAGGATTGCGAGAATATTCAGTTTCCCGTCAAATGAAGACAAACTGCAGCTAGGTTCATCCGTAATTTTCGTTGCTCCCTTCTCAAACTTTTTCAACACTTCCTTTAGATATAAATTATGGACTACTTAAGACTGCAAACCTCAATCTGTAAAAATTAAATGACAGCCCTTAAGCCCCAACTCAAAAGTAATCTCTATGCAGAGTGAATATTACTATAAAGTTGAGACCACCATTACTTTTGATATACGTAAC